TATCTCCTATATCTCCTATATCTCCTATATCTCCTATATCTCCTATACCTCCTATACCTCCTATATCTCCTATACCTCCTATATCTACATATCTATCTACCTCTTACCCCTAGGACATAATCGAGTTTCCGGGGATATTCTCCGAAGACATCATATGCTCAGAACATATGAAAAAAATTTTAAAAAAATATAATTTAGTAACACTATCAAAACAAGAAAATGTTCATCGAGAAATAGCGAATATTATTGCATTACCATTAATACTTCCAAATGAAATAAATAATTGTATGGAAAATATTATTGATGAATTATGTAATTATGATTCAGAACTAGAAAAATTAACTAATTATGTTATCAAAAATTACATAGAAGATGCTCGATTTTCTTCGGCTATGTGGAATAATTTTGATACAATCGATGAAAGACCACGTACAAATAGTCATTTGTAGGGTTACCATAGACAGTTAAGTGCAAGTGTAAGAACAAATCCTGATCTCTGGACATGAATTAGTGAAGTGAAATCATCAGAAGAATCTGTTATGTGTCGTTATGAATAAAAGCAAGTACTAAAACGAACAACAAGACCAAGAAAAGGAAAATACATACAAGATGATAACAAACTTAAATTAGCAAAATATATATATATATGCGAGATAAAGATTTTGGTGCTTATCAAAAAGTTTTACGAACTGTTTTCCATCGTTATATTCACATTCTAAAAGATGCGAAAGATAGTAGTGATCAAGAATAATTTTTTTGTTATCTATTTTATTTTGTTGATAAATATTTTTTTAATTAAAGCTTCCAAGTCGAACAAGCACGGCCGTAAACGATCGTATGGAGATCGTATACAGTTGTTTACAGTTGTATACGAAGTCCGTAATCGTTGACATGGGCTGTTGATTATCTGTTAACTGAAAAAACGGTCGTAATTTGGAAACACATTATAAATGAGATCAACGTACATTTCTGTGTTCCAAATTGCGACCATTGAAGTGTTAATTGGCTTAATTTTTTGTCGTAATTAGGGAATAGCCGATTTCATCTAAGCATAATTATGTTTATCGTCCTATACGCATTTTTTCTATTTATACTTTCCGTCACTCAACCATGACAGGATGATGGATGAGTCGTTTCTTAATTATTTAATGCCTATCTTTCTTTCATCTCTTGATTACTTAATCTTTATCTTTCTTTCATCTCTTAATTACTTAATCTTTATCTTTCTTTCTCATTCTTCATTTAAACTGTGGAATAGAGGATTGTCTATACACTTATATATAAGTACAAATAATATTCAACAACCGTCATTTCTTTGTTTTTGCATGTAAGTTTAACGCTAATGTCGTTTCATAATTATTAGGACTTTTTCTCATCACTATTTGTCCTTAGCCATAATAAGTATTAACTATTCTCATTATTGTCTTGGATGATTGTCGGGATCTTTAATAACAAATGGAGATTTGATACCAAAAAAAAAATTGATTTATAGTAATGCAAAAATATTTCATTTGTATAGATGTTATTACAGTAAGGTATTATATTATGGTCGAATGTATTTAAGTCATTGACAATATTCTGAAATTTATTGCTCTATCGTTCTGTTTTCGATTTTCACTGTTAAAGACATTTTAGTTAGTTTAAAGAAGAAGTATTTCTGTATTAATTTAAATCAATGATACATGTTGTTAGATCTACACCATAAGTCTTTATAACGGTACGAATAATCGAAGCATTTTGTCAGATGTTCTATCGTAAAATGTGTATATATTATGTATTTTTTTCTCTATAGAATCAAATATCACTTCATTTTTTATGCATTCTATACACATTCAATTGATACTAGTTTAAAAAATCGATTTGTAAGCCCGACTAGAAGTAAAGGTACTTGTTGTTTTTCTTTTGAGTCTTTTCTTAATAGATGCTGACAAAATGAATAAAAATAATCGAGAAAAAAGTATCTTACATCTTCAAAGTGACTATAAGATTCGAATATGAAAATTTCATTACGAATGTTAGGAGTATTGTTCGGAAGTGCAAAATTATAGATCTGATGAATTCTACTACTGTACTCTTGCCGACATTTTATATTTCTGCATTTGTGAAAAAATTTTGACACATAAAAACTTCTATGTCTTGTCTTCTTAGTTTTGAAAGAAAATGTTTCATACAATTCAACGGCAATTAAAAATATTTCTCCTAATCACATGTTACTGTTTCAATTTTATAAGTGAGTTAGTGAATTTCTTCGAAAATGAAAACATGATGAATATTAGTTGGAGGTCCTGATCAAATGCGTTTGTTAAAATATCTATTGACTGATAATCAACATCAAGCAATTACACGACCTGTTCAAAATGACTCGGACACATTACATGTTACTATAAATTTGGCTTTACAACACATTATTGATTTTGTAAGCAAGATTAAATATATGTTTTTCATATTTTTTCAATTTTCAAATATAAATAGGATGAAAAGAATGAAGCTATTGTCATTAGTGGCTGGTTGTCTATCGTATGTGTATTTTTTGTTATAATTAGGGATGCAACGGTGATGGTGAATCATCTCTTCACCATCACCGGTTCAAACTGGTAACTATTTCACCGGTAATCGATTCTTTTCGGGACCCGGATCAGGACTCGATTGATTAAAACTTTTTGGACTCGGATCTGATTAATTTAACTTTTCTGGACCCAATCGATCAAAATTTTTGGGTCCTGAGCTGATTGATTCATTTTTTGTGGATCCAGACTAGAACCGTACTCTTAAACCTCTTAATAAACTTTTCTAATCTGATTTTGATTATCGCTCCGAAGATACGATATACTTCTCTTTTTTTTCCGTTAGACTAGTAGCTTACTTAGAGATCTCAATTCATATTTACTTTCAACTTAATTCATGGGTAAATTAAATTATCGGTAATTTATTTTTAAAATAAATATAAATATGTTTTTTTTTCATAATTTATATTGATTTTTAAATATAAATTACTGATAATTTATATCTATTCTAAGTTGACAGTAAAATGACATCCCTAAGCATACTTTACATATTCTCTAAATGATCAGATAATGATCCCATAATAATTAAATTACAATTAGTTCTCACTCCTATTCAATATTTTCTGATAGAAGAGTAAATGTATGCATTACAAAAGCTTTACATTATTTCCTTTGTTTAGCAACTATTCTAATATCAATAATACTTTATTTTCTACTGAATCATTTACATAAAAAAAATAATAAAGTAGTATGAATTTCTCCCCAAAAAAAGAAGAAACTTTCCAATGTAATAAAAAATTATGACAAGTCAATTACATTTTACAAGACAAAAAAATCTTATATTTGTTTTTTATAAATAAATTAAGGTTTTCTGAATAAAATTTAAAGTCATTCGTAAAATATAATTATGTCCATCGAAAAGTCGTTCCGGTTTGGACGCCATGAGTAAAAATTTTTAGACCGGAACCCGATGGGCTCTAGTAACCGATTTTTATCGTTATTAGGCTCATATCAGTTTATAGCGACATAAATTCGTCTATACCGGTCCATATACGCTCGTACTTGTTTATACCGACTGATATTGGCTTAGAGTGTACTCGGTTTTTCGAAAGTAGCAATTGTTTTTTATAAAGTTTGACCAAAGTTAATCGAGGTCAAGGAATCCGAATCTGCAATCGGTTTTCGAAGTTCTGAGTTTGATTTTTCTTCAAAAAATTTCTTCTACGAAAAATTGTATTTCTATGAAAAAATTATTTTCTTAATAAAATTTTTTTTTTTTATAAACAAATGATTTTTTTTAAATGTGATTAGTAAAAGAATTGTTTTTACAAAAAAGATATTTTCTTCCAAAACAAAATGTTTGTAAAAAATTAAATACCGAACTCCAAGAAATCAATGACAGATTTGGATTTCTTCACTCCAATTGCCTTTGGCCCAACTTGATAAAAAAAAGCCTTTTCCTGATCAAAAACACTCAAGCTCAAAATTTTGAAAAACCGACTTTATTCTAAGCTACCATGGGCCAGTATAAATAAGTATTAGCCTAATACCGGTTGCTGGTTGGCCTAGTTCTGGTAAGAACCGATAACCAATGGACCGAGTTCCGATTAAGAACGGTTACCGCTAAGGGTCAGTTGTCATCACCGTTGCATGCGTAGTTATAATATCTGATCTTATTATTCACATATGTCTGTATAGATGTGGAATGATTATAGTTTAAGATGGAAACCAGAAGAGTTTGGTAATATTCAGACACTACGGATACCAAGTACACAAATTTGGACACCAGATATTCTTCTATACAATAGGTAATTATTTTTCAAAGAATAGATATCTTAAAAAACGGTACTTATTATTTCTTTTCAAAGTGCCGATGAAAAGTTTGATACTACAGTGAAAGTCAATGCCGTTGTGCAATATAATGGCGATATTTTATATGTTCCGCCAATCTTATACAAAGCAATTTGTTCATTTAATATTGCTGCATTTCCATTTGTAAGTATCAAAAAAATATGTCACTCATATCGTAATTTTTGTCTTTTGTTTTGGATACACAATATTGTACGTTGAAATTTGGACCTTGGACACATGATGATGCTGGTATGTGGTTGAATCATTTTTTTTTCTAGGATCAAAATGCCAAATTTTTCTGCATGTTATATGCTTTTTTAATTACTTAGGAGTCAATCTGACGGCAGAAAGTAGGAAAGGTCAATTAGATGCATACGTCAAAAGTGCTGAATGGGATCTAGAAGGTAATCGATATGGGTCGCATACATTTTATTCTATTCATTCTGTTTTAGATTTCTCTGCAACGAATGATGGTCTTAAATACGACTGTTGTCCAAATGTGTACCCATACGTACTATACACTATCCGAATTCGTCGACGTTCTCTTTATTATGTTACAAATATCATCAGTAATAAAATATAAATTACAATATTTTTTTTCTAATCTTTACATTAATATTATTGTTTTTTCGTTGCATAGTACCTTGTTTTCTTATCAGTTGTATGACAATATTAGGATTTTTATTATCACCGGATAGTGGAGAAAAATTAACCTTGCGTGAGTTAGAATTTG